TACACTGAGAGAGAAAAACAACTGGTTAACCACATGCAAAATATGGTTCTCTTCATATTCTATTCAGAAACGGTAAAGGGAGACAACTGCATTTTGCATGTGGTTAACCAATGAATATCTTTGCTTCAGGATGATGTCTGTTTTAATGATTTTCTTCAAGGAAGATTATTCACGTTTCTTTATTATTTTATCTTTTGGAGTTTGCCTGGCTGTTTGTATTTTATTAATTACAGACAACAGAATTTTTCTGGCAGTTTTTTAAAACCACAGCCGAGCAATAAATAAGGAAATTAATATGTGGATATGTTAAGAATCGATAGATCGATTTTTGTTTAATCATAGAGGGAATGAGATCAAAGATAAAAAAAGAAGCAATGGATACCAAAAGAGAGAGAAACGGTAAGAGATATATAGAGAGAAAGATATAGAGAAAAACAATAAAAAGAGTGCACGAGACCAAGAGAGAGGGGGGAGAGATAAATTCAGTGAGAGAGAGAGTAAGTGAGGGAGATGGAGTGAAAGATTTAGTGGGAGAGAGAGAGAAATATATGAGAGAAAAACGAAAAAAGAAGATAAAAGACAGACAGATAGAGAAAGAAAGAGAAAGAAAGAGAGAGGTAGAGAGAGAGAGAGAGAGCAAGAGTAATAGAAAGCAAGACAAAATGAGAGAGAGGGGAAAAACACAGAGAAAAAGTAAGTGATGGAGACAGAGTGAAGGATTCGGTGGGAGTGAGAGGGTGTGTGAAAGAGAAAACAAAGAGGAGGAAAATACAGTGAGAGAGAGAAAGAGAAAGAAAGAAAAAAGAAAGAAAGAAAGAAAGAAAGAAAAAGGCAGAGAGAGAGAGACGAAGAGCAAAAGAATGCAAGGGTGAGAGAGGGGGAGAAAAACATTGAGAGAAAGTAAATGATGGAGATGCGGTGAAAGATTCAGAGGGGGTGAGATATTATGAAAACAATCAAAAAAAGAAAAAGACCGAGAGAGAGAGAGAGAGAGAGAGAGAGAGAGAGAGTGTGTGTGTGTGTGTGTAGGAAAGATGGAGAGCGAAGTGCCACAATGAGAAATATTTTTGCCAACTTTACACGTACAGTCAAAAATATGAATATATGTATATGAAATCGATAATGTTTTGTTAAATCCATATCCTATTTCTGAGAAGAGAGCTGAAGAATTATCGGCGATAACCCCTTTCCAAAATCTGAGGAAACGTCAGATTCCTTAAACTTATCAACTAGCGAAAACTGAAGAAAAAGTGTGCTTTTCGATAGGAATCGAAAAAGCACAACTTTTTTTTCCATCAGAAACTCGCACATTTGTTGCTGCGGTAATAAAATAAGCAAATTCCGCCTCCCCTCTCGCTTGTAACTATCCGTCACAATAGAGTAAACGTTTTACAGCGCTAAAGCTGAGTTGGTCAAATAAAGCTTCATAGGTTTCTACAGTACCCATTAAAATTTTTACTACAATACCCATTAAAAATTTTACTACAGTAACCATTAAATTTTTTTTACTACAGTACCAATTAAAATTTTTACTATAGTACCCATTAAAATTTTTTACTTTAGTACCCATTAATATTTTTTTACTATAGTACCCATTAATTTTTTTTTTACTACAGTACCCATTAAATTTTTTTTACTATAGTACCCATTAATTTATTTTTTACTATAGTACCCGTTAAATTTTTACTACAGTACCCATTAAAAATTTTTACTATAGTACCCATTAAAAATAACGTTTATTGTACCAGAAATAATATCAAATTAAAAAGAAATATACTATTTATGAAATGCACAACATACAGGCTTATTAGAAAAGAAATGGCAGATATCGAAAATTTTATAGAAAAACAAAGGCGAATAGATGGAAACACTGAATAGGAAAAGGTTCAACGTTTATTGCTTTAAGGTAACACTACGCAAATTACAGTATATAACACTTTTCCTGTGGTGGGGCCATTTTAAGAATTGACACAAATTTTAACAATTCAAATTTATACAAAATCTAAAAACAAAAACCAACAAAAAAAAGCATTTACACAGGATTGAAAAAATGTTAATTTATTCCAATAACTTTGAATGTTTTCCTGTCTGATAATGGGTGAACGTATTTATGTCTCTTAGCATTCGTTTTTATTTTTCGTTTTTATTTAAATCATGGAGAATTATAGTTTAAAAACAGTAAAGTCGACCTTGCTACCCGAAAAGCCTCTCTGTGGTTTAATGGGTTATGGCACGTCAGGCTATATGACGGTTCCGTAAAGGATACAAGTTCGATTCCTGTCGGAGGACGCATATTTTCTATGAGACTTTCTCGGACATTCAGGCCGGTAAATGTTGTTCATACTGTTTATTATAATCAGGGCATTTACTTAAATATTTGTATCTATAAAAAGAACGTATAAACATAAAAATGTCTGTATATATATATATATATATATATATAAAAAAGTTTCAAATTGAAAATTATAATGTTTTATTTTATGAAAGTATTTATTTATTTATATATATATTTGATATTTCAAATTGTCCTTAATTTTTCATCAGAAATAACTGTTTGTTACAAATAAATTAAAATTACTGTTAGTTAGCAAGTAGCGTCCTTCGCGAGACGCGGACGTCACGTGATATGGAACGTCACTGTTCGGATATTCTAACTTAAATCTAACTGTCATAAATATTTAAAAAAATTTTATATATATATATATATATATATATATATATATATATATATATATATATATATTTAGGTAATCCGTAATCCGTATGGGTAGACCTGAGGAGGATGATATCAGAGAGCTCAATGTAAAATTCAAAGCAGATATGTTTGAATAACATTAATGTAGCGCTTATCGCTCACCCCTTAACCACCTTTATCTAGAGACGAGACGCGTTAGATTTGAGCAACATCCAGCCGACACACTGGGGTTAAAATAGGAAACTAAAATGATACATATGACACACTCATATCCTCTCTCCCACCTCACTTCCTCACTTCGTTAACTTTGCGTATACTTGATGAGGTCCGTAAAAAACGTGTGAATTTCTTTTCATTTTTCATTTCAGCATTTGGAAGTAAAGTCTGATGATCCAGAACGCTGTTAAAGGGGTAATGGTGAAAGAGCTTATTACATGGAATCTTAACGTGGTCTGTCTTTTATTCAAATACATATATATATATATATATATATATATATATATATATAGAGAGAGAGAGAGAGAGAGAGAGAGAGAGAGAGAGAGAGAGAGAAATCTAGTATGGATAAAGAACAAGTAGGAAACAGATCTTAATCTAGCATGTTTCCCTTTGTTAAATCTTCTTCAGAGAACAAGGTGTAACTGATAAGAAATGATAAAAAGCAAAGAGACGCAGATTAATGGTATATTTTGATTGGCTATTTCTTATTGGTAGGAAACGTGCCACGTGTAATGAAGTAACACATGATATTCGAATAAGTATAAATGTAAGTGAAACGTCTTCTGACTTACGTTCGGTCATTTCTGATTGATCTCTTTAACTCTCTACTGTTCTCTCTTGTTTTAAAAAATCTTATTCACTTTTATCTTGATGGTTCTTGAATGGACTTTGAAGATGCAAGCCAGAGTATGAATGTTGCTACCATTCCTGAAGGCCTGAACGACCTTTTTCCTCTCACCATTGCTCAGCTGGGAAAGCAGTGTGTCTGACACAAAACAATTTAAAGCTGATTTTTTAGTGATTCTTACGAAAAATGGAGTTAAGATGGTTAAACGTCTTATATGAAAAGCTGGAAACTAAATTACTTTAGTGTTTTTTTAAGATATTAAACATTTTCCGGGATGGATAATTATCCCATGCTGTTACACGATTTGGACAATTTTGCTGTTACACATAGTACACACACACACACACACACACACACACACACACACACACACACACACACACACATATATACATATGTGTGTGTGTGTATTTTCCGTTGTCTTATGCGTATTGGCTTTTAAAAACAGCTTGTTAAGAAATGAATTAAGTTTGTTTCTCTGACCTTTCTGTTTCTCCTCCATCCACAGATTGCAATTTTCTTCTCTTTTTATTATTCAAATTCAACTACTGATGTTTTCCCTTTCATTTTTACTTTCAATTCTTTTAAAAACATAATGCTATTTCTCTAATACACACACACACGCACACACACACACACACACACACACACACACACACACATATATATATATATATATATATATATATATATATATAGATAGATAGATAGATAGATAGATAGATAATATAGACTCGTTTCGAAAAACCCTCGAATTTTTTATTTGCTAATCAAATCAATCTCGAGGGAAAAAAGGTTTTTAAAAAAAAGAAAGAGCTACAAACATGAACTTCTGCCGACAAAAAAATCGCACAGATGCAGGTCTGAAGCCCAAAGAAAAAAACCCTGATACGAGTAACAACTAACTAACAAAAAAGAGCTCAATACAACCGTAGAGCAGACCTAGATACACCTAGTGAGCCAGACAAACCTACCTAGGTTTCACCTAAACAGATCGTCAGGGAAAGTAAGGCTAAGGAGGCAAAGAGAAACGCATATTTATAGGCGATAGCTAAAATTATACCACGTGACCAAAGAACCACAAACACAAACCTAAATATGCGTTTCTCTTTGCCTCGTTAGCCTTACTTTCCCTGACGATCCGTTTAGGTGAAAGAAAAACGAATGATAAAAAGAAAAAAAAATATGTTAAGCAATATGAAGGCAAAAGACAAAGAAGAATCAAATATTGAAAGAGACAAAGAAAGAAAAGAAGAATAAAAATTGAACGAGAAAAAGAAAGAAAAGAAGAAAAAATTGAAGTAGAAAACGAAAGAAAAGAAGAATAAAATATTGAAAGAGAAAAAAGAAGTAAAATGAAAGAGCAAAAAAAAAAATAAGAATAAAAAATTGAAAGAGAAAAAGAAAGAAAGAAAGAATAAAAAATTGAAAGAGAAAAAGAAAGAAAGAATAAAAAAATTAAAAGAAAAAAAAGAAAAGAATAAAAAATTGAAAGAAAAAGAAAAGGAGAATAAAAAATTGTAAGGAAAAAAGAAAGAAAAGAAGAATAAAAACTTGAGAGAAAAAAGAATAAAAAATTGAAAGAGAAAAAGAAAGAATAAATAATTGAAAGAGAAAAAGAAAGAAAGAATAAAAAATTGAAAGAGAAAAAGAAAGAAAGAATAAAAAATTGAAAGAGAAAAAGAAAGAAAGAATAAAAAATTGAAAGAGAAAAAGAAAGAAAAGGAAAATATTAAAAAAAAAAAAAGAAAAAAAATTGAAAGAAAAAAGAATAAAAAAAAATGAAAGAAAAAAAAAAAAAAAGAAAGAATAAAAAAGAAAGAATAAAAAATTGAAAGAAAAAAGAAAAAAACTTGAATAAAAAAAAGAAAAAAAAAGAAAGAAAAGAATAAAAATTAAAAAAGAAAAAAAAGAAAAGAATAAAAATTGAAAGAAAAAAAAAAAGGAAGAATAAAAAATTGTAAGAGAAAAAGAAAGAAAAGAATAAAAAAAAGAAGAAAAAGAATAAAAATTGAAAGAAAAAAGAAAGAATAAATAATTGAAAAGAAAAGAAAAAAGAATAAAAAATTGAAAGAAAAAAAAAGAAAGAATAAAAAATTGAAAAAAAAAGAAAGAATAAAAAATTGAAAGAGAAAAAGAAAGAAAGAATAAAAAATTGAAAGAGAAAAAGAAAGAATAAAAAATTGAAAGAGAAAAAGAAAGAAAGAATAAAAAATTGAAAGAGAAAAAGAAAGAAAAGGAGAATAAAAAATTGTAAGGAAAAAAGAAAGAAAAGAAGAATAAAAACTTGAGAGAAAAAAGAATAAAAAATTGAAAGAGAAAAAGAAAGAATAAATAATTGAAAGAGAAAAAGAAAGAAAGAATAAAAAATTGAAAGAGAAAAAGAAAGAAAAGTAGAAGAAAAAATTGAAAGAGAAAAGAAAAGAAGAATAAAAAATTGTAAGGAAAAAAGAAAGAAAAGAAGAATAAAAACTTGAAAGAAAAAAGAAAGAAAAAAGAATAAAAAATTAAAAGAGAAAAAGAAAGAAAAGCAGAACAAATTAAAAAAAATATAGAAAATATGATAGGGAAGATGAATGAAAACGGAGAAAGAAGATTAAATAATTGAAAGAAAGAAAAGACTTAAAGAAAGAGAGAAACGAAGAAGAAGTAAAATATGAGAGAAAAGGAAAGAAAAAGAATGAAGACAGAAAATGTGGACGCAACAATGATGGAAAGAAGAAATAGAAAGAATGAAGAAACATAATGAAGAGAAGAAAGAAGAAATACACGAGAAATAATGAATAAAAACGAAGAAAGAAGATGAACAAATTGAGAGAAAGAATGTAAGAAAAAATCAAAAAAGAAAGAATAAATAGAAGAGAAGAAAGAAAGAAAAACATACGAGAAAAGATGAAAGAAAATAAAACGCAAGAAAGATGAAACAGAAGGTATAAAAAAGAAAAAAAGTAAATAAAGAAGAGAGAAAAGAAAAACATGAATAAAAAAAAACGTAGATGAAAACGAATAATGCAAGAAATCGTTCAAATTCTTGAAAATAAATGATATTTAAGAAAAGAAAAAAACAATCAAATTTAAGAGGACAAAAAATTAACACTAATTTTAACCCCACTTTTTCCCTTGCTCAGCCTGAAATCAAAATGCAACTCGGCCAGAACATCTCGAGGGTTCAGGTGTCGTTAAACAACCTATAAAACCTTAGCGATGAAAATTGAAAGCTTATTAAAAAGGGACGCAAAATGGTGGGTCGAATCTCACGGTGGGTTTCGACACGGACTTTTCCACCATCATTTCTTTTTTTCCTTTTTTTGTTCTAAGGTTTATTGTTGGGATTTTGAGAGTCTAGGGTTGGAAAAGACGGAAGACCGACGATGAATATTTAAGTAATAGCCATCCATCATGATTTTATTTTTGCTTTTTGACAGACGACACTGTGTCGTCTGCAACATGAAGAACGGGTTGGGGGATGTAAAAATCACATGATGCGTTCTTTTTCTCTGGAACGTTGGTCGAAGTTTTCTTTTGGTTTGCAAGGAATGGTTTTAAAATCGGATAAATGAAGAAAACTTACAAAGGAAGCGAGAGAGAAGAAGAAAATTAAATTTAGAAGAAAACAAAGTAAAAAAAAAGTAGAAAGAATAATGGTGTGACAAAGTGTACGGAAAGAAAAACAGTGAAGAATCAAGAAAGCGTAAAGCAAAGAGACAGTAAGAGAACGTCGAAGGAAAGAAGTAAAACTCAAAAGATATCAGGAAAAAAGATAAAAAAGAAGGGTTGCTAATTAGAGATTAAATTAGTGTGGCACAAGGCAAAAGAAGATGAGTATACAATGAGAAAACGAGCATTTTTTTACAGTAACGTTTATACAATCACCATCTTCTATAAGAATATATACAAAATTGGAGCCCAATTCTTCCAGGAATTCCGATGTTAAAATGTCCTACGTTATAATAATTTGTATTTACTCAACCCTCTCACGAGGTCAGGTTGTGAAACAACGTCGGCTTAATGTGAGGAGCCCGAGTGCGTACACCCGGGCTAGGAACAAAAACTGTCCGGGCCCCCACAGCCGAGACGCAATTGACAGATGATAAATAAACGTGTTACAAACTACTCAAGAACAATTTGTACACAATTTGCGGAGATGCTGTCGGCGTATCCTACAGTTCCAGCCGACAGGGCGACCTTTCCTGATAACTAGGTATTTAGTCTGTCTCCCCACTAAGACGAGCTGTGACACAACGTCATTTTTTAAGGTGGGGACCCGAGCGCGTACATCCGGACCAGGAACAAAAATTGTTCGCAACCCCAGCAACCGTCGGCTGCGAGCACCGACCCCTCTTTCTGTTGCAATGAGAGGGCGAGGCCTTGGGCAGCTGTTTCCTAGGGCTGGGCACCTCTCAGTATAATTTTCCTCAGTTCCGACGCTGTCCTTTGACGGAGTCGCCCCTGAGTGCACTCTGCTAAAAGACAGAAAGGCAACTGATAGATGATAAGCAAGTCTTAGATAGTCATAGATTGTCCAAACTGATCAGAGCCGGTTCAAGCCAGTCACATCCGTGACGTTACCAGCGCAGGGACGGTTCCCTGTGCTCCGGTAAGTAGAGATTTTAAAAAATATTCTTCACTTGAAATTAAGGATACCCTAAGAATAAAATTTACTAATTTATATTGGTTAATATCAACAACATTGTGAATCTATTTGCATTATTCGGAGTCATCTTTGTTGCCATATTTATCACAACGTTCCGGCCGTTATACGCTCCGGTCTTCTTCATGTGGATGGAATGTCAAACGAAACTCTTTCTTTTGCTCACTGGGGTAGACTGTTCTAGTTCCACGTGGCATGTCTAATGGATGTCAGTTATCAGTTATCAGTTAGGGTTAGGGTTAGGGTTAGGGTTATCTCCTGTTAATTCCCATCTGAAAGTTCTCCACTGCCTTAGCCGGGTATTGAACTCTGTGGGTCCTGTCACGGGATCTAAGTAACGCCTTTATCCACTGTGCCATGTGTCTTTAAGGACATCTGTGTGTGAAATTCTGGGAATTATAAACTTAATGTCTTCAGCAACAATTTTTACCAGTGCTCATATTGGAATTTTTGCTGTTATCATTGCATTTTTTTTCTTACCAGAGCTCATATTGTCTTGCACTCTTTATTACTGGTTTCCATATTGTATTAATTTCTATGATGAGGTCAATAGCCCGAATAATGTAAATGGGGTACATAATACCTAATCTCAGAAATATAGACAGATTGTGAATCTATTGACTTCATAAAATCTAACATGGTTTATAAAGATGGCAATATAAAAAAAAAAAACAGATAGCGAGTGGGTGAGGATTACTCGTAGTGAATAATGCCTACTTTAGTAGTGATTTTTAAAATTGAAATAGTTGGATTTAAATAGTGCTCAATGTACGATGGAGGTAAACTAACCAGTGAAGAGTACATCAGAATCTCCAGGGCCCAACAAATAAATTTCAGAATTCATTTTTAATTTAATTAAGGGCTTTTACGCCCCAAGGTAGGCTCACAAATACGCCGATTGCATTCCCCGTGCAAAGTGATAAAAACACAACAAAAAAAAAGGAGCCATATGTTTGTAGTATCTATGTCTCCCTTTTTGGCTCGAGTAAAAACTCAACCTATATCTATTTTTTTAGAAATTTTGTGCAAACCAGACAGAACTTGACTTTTTTCTTATTCTAGTATTAATCGTAATTTTATATGCGGACGGTGTAATGGAAAACGGTTCAAACTGCGAAACCAAAGACCCGAATTTGAATCCTAGTCGATTTCCCTGAATTCACTAAGGAAACGTATGAATTCATCTTTTCTCCATCTCTCACCACAGAATAGCAGAGCAGACTGGGCTCTTTAGCAGTGGATGGCAATCAGCCTAGGAGAAGAGCAACTCTGAATTTCAAACTAGTTGAGCATGGCGCGGCAACCTCATCCCACAAACATCTACTTGTTACTCTACTTCAGAATTTACACCCAAAAATCAAATTCATCCAAGAATATAATTTCAACGAATTACCATTTTTAGATATACTCATTAGAAATAAAAACAACCACATAATCAGATATCTACCGCAAGCCTACAGACACCCAACAATACCTTCATTTCAAGTGTCATCACCCAAAAAGCTGCCTGAAATCCATCTCCTATTCTCTAGCACATAGAGTTTGTACTATAGTGACTGATAAACACCCCAGAAAAACCCTCCTAGAAGAACGACATACAACTCTAAGAAATCGAGGCTACCCCACAACACCAATAAACAAAGCTTTTGAACTCGCAAAAAATAATTGAGACCAAGTACGAAATTCAAAGAAAC